GGCGGCGGCGTCGAGGGCGCCCGTCGCAAGCCGGGGTGGCCGCGGCCCGCAGCGCTGTCCCGGGATCCGGGAGCTCCGCCTGGCCCGCGAGCTGTGCCGGGGCTGCCCCTTCCAAGACGGGTAAAACATACGGGACTGTCTGCTGGAAGCTACTGGGGTTGGGATTGGCACTGAAAGCATTTGTGGGAGAACCCTCTGATGTTCAGTATCTGCAAAATGAGGAGATGGGCTCGGGAAGCATTTGGGAAAACTATAAATACTATAAAGAAGAAGATTAAAAATAATTAAATAATCAAGAGCAGCCTTTATGAGAAAAAAAGTTATATTTGTTTCCATATGGCCGGCATAAATGCCGTACCGCTCATGCCTTTCAGATAACGGTTGTATTTCCTCAGCTGCTGCGTTACCAGCATCCCCCGCCCTTCCACCACCTTCCCTTGCACCTCGCAAGTGGGCCAGACGGGAGCTGCCCTGCGGCCACGGACCCTCGCGGACTGCTCCCGTGCGAGGGCAGGGCAACCACTGCCTTTGGTCCCCGTGTCACACGCGATGGGGACGGAAGCAGCGTTGGGGCCAGCGGGCCCGGGTTACGTGGAGCCCTGACCTGATGGAATAGGCCCATGCCTCCTCTTCCTGCTTGCTTTTGCTGTCACTACTCGATTTCCTCCTTTTTTAGGTTAAAGATTGATTATTTTGGAAAACAGAGTAGATCAATTAATACACTGCATTCAAACTTCCCTTTATTTTTTAAATGACCTTTCATTGGGATTGCCTCTGCTCTGTTTTCTTTTTCAGTTCCTCCTTTGGCTTGTTGTGTTGGCTCATTTTTTGTTTTGTTTGTGAGTCCATATTGAGCAGCTTCTCTTACTTAAAATCTCATATACTTTCATCAGTACACAGCTGGTAAAGTTCCAGCTCCGTTTTTATTAGACTTGTATTTTAAGCTGATGATGTGGCTTTTTTATGTTCCATCAGTCCCATCCTGCTCAAATTGAAATAACTTCTGCTCATAAACTTAAAAGGGAGACGGGTTGGACATATATTTGAAATTAAAGTTCTTATTTGTATATGATGTGTTGAGGAAAAAAAAAAAAAAAAAGGAAAACAGGACATATTGTATAAATGCAAAACACAACCTGGCCAAGTTGTACTAATTAAGATGAGTTTTTATTCTTGAAAGAATTGGAGGTTAGAAAATATGCTTTAATATGGATAACAGCTGTACTGCAGGGTAATGATATAAACAAAAGAGATAACTGCCTCCGTGTGGAGGGTCATGGCTGTATAGAAACCAAGCTCTATGTGCAAATGTTACTATCTTGTCGCCTGTGGCCAAAACCCCAGGAAATCCATGGGCTCCAAGGGTTCATGGAGCTCTTTTACAACCTTCTTTCCAATTTTCTTTTAAATAAAACCAGACTGAGAACAAGTGTTAAACAATAGAGCCAGATCTGCAGTTGGTAAAAATCCTGCTGCCAGTGAACTCGCTGGCCTGGACCCTGCTCCCCCACTGGATCCAGTGAGTTTTGCCTGTGACTTCAAGAGAGCCGCCACTTTATGCAGCGGATTCCCGGTGCCCGCTGTGGCCAGCGGCGGAGGCGCCACTGGTGCCACCATGGCCCGGAATCCTTGAGGAGCCGAAGCGGATCCCCGGGAGCTGCTGCACAGTGTGCCCAGCGCTGCAGCACACACAGCCTGGCACACGTCCTGCTCAAAACAGATCCTCTCCCACTTCATCCCCTGCTTACTTGCCCAAAGCCCCTCACAGGGGCGACCAAGGCTGCTGTCACAAACCCACGGCAGGGCCTTGCCATGGGCAGACACTTCAAATTCTTCACAATGAAGAATTTCTGTTGCACTTCTCACGGTCCTCAAACCTCTAATGAGATGCATGTAATGAATGAAAACACATCATGCCATTTTAGTGGAAGGACAAGATACTCCAACCAAGTTCCGACGATGAATAGGGGCTGCGTCTACCCCTCCATCAAGCAGGACTGTAATCACAGTGTTTGCCTTTCCTGGAGACAGGCAAAGAAGGAAGAAATGATGATCTGCCCGGAATAGAATACCTAGTGTGAAGAGAAGGTCTTGAGCAGCTTATGCTGACATAGCTGAAGTAGCTTTAAAGCAGCTAAGCAGCCAGCTGAGCTACGAGCAGCACCCTAATGGAAAGGGTGCCACGTTGAGCACAGTCCGACTGCCGGCATTGCCTTGGATTTACAGACCTTGTTGTCTGCCCCGAGTTTGTTCTATCAGTTCCTGTTCCGGCTGGGGAACATCTGTATAAATTGTACTGACCTTTCCTGTAGAGAAGATGTTCCCTCAACGTTTAATTTTGCTTAGCAAAATGAGATCACCCTAAGCTTGTATCACCAGCTCCTGCAAGGAAAGAGTGGTTTAAAACACAAAGAGTGGCGTGTTGCACCTAGAAAATATGTCTTTGAGATTTCTCTTTTTCTTTCAAGGAGAAATCCACAGAAAAATGAATCTTTTCTAGATGCCAGTTGGGCTGTGAGGTGAGAAGAAGATGGACTTGAGCGTGATGCCTTGTCCAAAGGACAGTTGATTCCAGAGGAATCTGCCAAGGATTCCTCCTCCCCCAGCCTGCTGCACGTCTTACCCGAATGGCTCCTCCAAAGCATCTTTCCCTGCCCTCCTCGCTAGACACCAGAGTACCTTCCTGCAGAAGGACTCTACATTAGCTCCTCTTATGTTTTTTATGCAGATCATTGTCTTTGCTTTAGCCGGTATGCATACTTTGTGGCTATGTTGCATTATAAAGCTTAATAAAAAAGAAGCCAAATTAAAACAGCATGCCAGTTCATTTCCTCCACACTTGGTATTTCCAGGCCCTGTACTGCCTCAACCCCTCTGCCATTACGTGGCAGCTATACGCTGCCTAAAAAAATGCACATATTTAATGCTGATTTTGAATCAGTGTCTGCCAAAAAGCAGTAACTACAACTGGATCAGAGCCTTTTTCCCCCTTTAACCTGAGGACAGTAAAGAAAAGATGACACAAAGAACAGACCAATGCAAAATTAATAAATTAGTGAATTATCAAGCCCTCTTTGATAATTTAACTTCTACTCTTTTCTAGGAAAGATGAAAGATCATTTCTAGCGCCAAAGAAACATTCTTGGAAAACCAACGTGGAAAGAAACTAAATTAAAGCAGTAATACCAAGGCTAAACACTTTGATTCCTGTAATAAAGAAAGAGGGTTCTTTTATAAGTAGGGACATCTTTACCTGATAATTAATAACTCCAGCCTATGACACAGAGCCACTGGCTGATGAGTAAAAGGGGGCCCCCTCTCTGCCTGCTCCCTCTGAGATGGACACGGGGCTGCGAGCACGTCCCGGGGGGTCTGCAGAGGCCGCGGCGGCTCTGCCGAGGCAGCAGCACCCAGGACACGCTGCAGCTCCGGCGGCTCCGTGAACTTTGGGATCCGCAGAGTCAAGCGCCCTGTTTTCTGGGACAAGCTCCCCAAGCCGCTCCGTGTGTCCCGCTCCCTGCAGCCGGTGTGGTAGGAAGGCCACGCAAGGCCACACGCTGAGGGACTCGCGTGTCCCTTGCCACCCACGCAGGGCCTGGCTGTGGACACCTCTCGAGCCCCCCAGTCTGATGCCGTCTCCTCCTCTCCCAAAGCTCCTGCCTGCCCAGGGCCCTGCAGTTCAGCTCTGTGAGGTTTCCCTCGCGCTCCGGAAGGGGCTGACAGAAATAAGGGCTGAATCCAAGTCCCGTCACCTTCTTTTGTGTTTGGCTCAGCCACTTTGTCCTTAGTGGTCCGTAGGAAATGGTTCAACTTAATTTCCCTTTATATTATCCCTGTCAGTGCAGCCCATAACATCTCATTGCTGCCACGCTGTCACTAACCAGCTGTACTTAACTACTAGTCTAATTGCCGCTTGATAAATAGCACAGTTCCTCCCCTACATTTTCACCTTGATTCTTCCTGTGCAGATTTATAGCTTCGCTATTAATATTCCAGCCATGTGATTTATCCCAGCTTGTTCTGGAATACTTGCCTTCCCTATATAAATATTTGAATGTTCTTAATTTCAACTAATTAGTACTGGGACATTTGATTTCCCTCTTGAAGAATTCTCATTTGTTGCTAACCAGTTCCTTTCCAGTGTTGCAGATACCTATTTTGAAGGGAGAAAAGAGAGCCAGTGATCACGGCAAACCCTTTCTGCAATATGAGTTTAGCCTTTTCATATGGTTCATGTCAATCTGGTGCAAAACTAACTCTCCTAGGTCTGAAATCTCAAAAAATAAAAAAAAAAAAAAAAAAAAAACAAGTGCATAGAGAGCAGAGATAAAACATCACTATCCTAGCCTCAGCTCAGACAGACCTGCAGGAGACAGAGCTTAATATTGAACATTGGCTCAATTTGGGGAAAAAAACTTATTTGATTTCTTATTTTCCCACGGATTAGGGCAAGCCTCCAAGTTCAGATTCATGCTAAACCAAGAGACATAGCAAAAATTAAATGGCCCTCGGATCTAAGTCACCCTTTTGGGCATCAGTTTCAGCATCACCTTTAGCTATGAAGGAAACATAGGCAACTAGGCCCCAAGAAAGTGCTTTTCTTTGGTTTGTTGGTTCCCCATTGGAAATCTACTTATACCTTATTTTCCCCCTATAAAGAATTAGCAAGTTTGGACAATATATTTTGGCCTTGTGCATTTCAACCTCATAGAAAGAGAAGCAGCAGCACTTTACAGAAGCGTCCTGTCGGGGGAAAAGCTTCTAGCCGACATTTTAATTTATGGTTGAGAAACCCTTTTGATGGAGCAGTTTCAACCAGCCGTGCTTACAAATTACTCTGCTAGAAGGAAGCAGTCTGAGGAGCATTTCAGCCATGCAGATTTTTTCACCCTCCAGAAAAGCCACATCGCTCATTTTCACTGACTCACCCACTGAAGCCAACAGTAATCTGCTGTTCAGTCTAGGCATCCTTTTAATGAGGGAGCTACATGAGATTGTTGTTTTCCAAAATTAAGCATTATCAAGATTTTTGGATTCAAATTCCTCTTTAAATAAAACAAATCCTGCTCCCCAGTCACCTGGAGAGTCCTCCTAGGATATCTTCGTAGTGTTATAGGTATCTTCATTGACAGCAAATCCCCATTTCCAGCAGAATGGGAGATTTTCCAGCCTCAGAATCATCACTTGTATGTTTGTATTAAAGTAATGCCTGTAAGGTCTGATGGAGACAGGGAACTGTTAGATGGCCTCTGTCATAGGCTAAATAGACTGGACAAACAACAGCAGCTATAAGAGAGAGCAACCTCAGTGGAGGACGTGATCTGATTAAGTGTGAAGTTCAACGCAGTTCAGTGACATGAGTTGCAAGATAATCCCCCAAAATCCTAACCCCCCAAATTATTATTACCCCCAA